GGGGGGGGGGGATTTAGCGGTGGGGATGACTTAAAAAAAGAGGATTTAAGAGCATGTGCAGAAAAAAAAACAATTACTTCATGTTTCTGTGGACTGTCAAAAAAAAACACCGAACATTTATGTATGGTTATTTCTGCAACAAACGAATGTTCGTGATTATCATTTATCACATCTGAAATTTATGGAAACACAAATTGAATTTCGGACCCGAATCCTGAAAAATGCAATAATGAAAATCCGAAACTAAACAAACCGAAACACATGTATTATGTGTATGTTTTGTATTTAGTGATAATATTTGATATTATATGTTTAATAAATCCAAAGGGTGGCTATATTATAAAGACTGGTTTTAGGATGATGACAGTTACATACTAGGGGGTCTATTCACGAAGCAGCCGAAGGATCTAGTCGTAGCTTCGGCCGATCCTTTGGCTAGCTTCGGCCCCAGGACCCCTTCGGTTCAGTAGAACCGAAGAGCTGCTGTACGGGCTATTTACTATAGCCCGTACAGCTCTCGAACTTGCCCGAGCGGCTCAGTCGAGCCGAACGCATATGCCCCGCCTCGGCTGAGCCGCGCTGAAAGCTGAAGCTGGCCGGCCGACAGCCTGCTTCTGACAGCTGGCTGGAGCCACTTGCAGAGAGATCAGCGTCCCTGGTTACCAGCTAATCAGGGACAGTCATCTCCAGACAGTCTCCCGATCCCGGCCGCCAAGGAGAGAAACACTGCTTTTTTTCTTTTTTTTTTTATTCTGACACGGAGCCGTGTCAGAATAGGAAAAAAAAAAACATTTCACCATAGGAATGCATTGCTAGCTTCCTATTGGCTATTTCAATTTGCAATAGCCAACCAATAGCAAACTAGCTATTGTACCCGCCCTCTGCTGCAGTTCTCCATCAGGTCCACACTAGTGATTGACAGCAGCAGAGGGCGGGTACAATAGCTAGTTTGCTATTGGCTATTGTAAATTGAAATAGTCAATAGGAAGCTAGCAATGCATTCCTATGGCGACATTTTTTGATGGCAGCAGAACCGCCGGCCAATAGAAAACAGTAGGGCGGAGCTAGCTGTCACTGCTAGCTTGGCTAGCTTCGGCCCCAGGACCCCTTCGGTTCAGTAGAACCGAAGAGCTGCTGTACGGGCTATTTACTATAGCCCGTACAGCTCTCGAACTTGCCCGAGCGGCTCAGTCGAGCCGAACGCATATGCCCCGCCTCGGCTGAGCCGCGCTGAAAGCTGAAGCTGGCCGGCCGACAGCCTGCTTCTGACAGCTGGCTGGAGCCACTTGCAGAGAGATCAGCGTCCCTGGTTACCAGCTAATCAGGGACAGTCATCTCCAGACAGTCTCCCGATCCCGGCCGCCAAGGAGAGAAACACTGCTTTTTTTCTTTTTTTTTTTATTCTGACACGGAGCCGTGTCAGAATAGGAAAAAAAAAAACATTTCACCATAGGAATGCATTGCTAGCTTCCTATTGGCTATTTCAATTTGCAATAGCCAACCAATAGCAAACTAGCTATTGTACCCGCCCTCTGCTGCAGTTCTCCATCAGGTCCACACTAGTGATTGACAGCAGCAGAGGGCGGGTACAATAGCTAGTTTGCTATTGGCTATTGTAAATTGA